TTTGAAAAGGAAACCTGGGGGATGGGGTAAAGGCATCGTGTGTGTAAATGTTTTTTTTCATCCGCTTTCCACGCCCCGGAGGTCTGAGTTTTTTTTTCCCTGGGATCAAAACGATGGAAATTGGCCCCAAAGAAAGCACCGGGAGAGTGCAATTGGCGGGATAATGGCTCTGCCCGGGGAAAAAAACTTTTACTAATATTTTGGATCACTTTTGTTTGGGTTAAAACTATTTCACTTTTGGTGGGGTTTAAAAAAAGGGCCCGGGCCCTTTTCCCCCCATTTTTTTTAAATTTTCGATGTCCCCCCCGGAGAGATTCTTTTTGTCCCAGCTGGGGTACCGTCGTCCGGGAAACCCCAGATTTTGAGCCCCCTTTGGAGAGTCCCTCCGGTTTCCTTTGATGACCAAAAAAAAAAGGGAAAAGGGGGCGAGAGGGTCCCCCTGTTGCAAAAGGCCCCCCACACGAGTCAATTTTATGGCCCCAAAAAATATTTTGAAGTCACACTATAAAAAGATTCTATGAAAGGGGTAAAGGGAAGGGAATTTTTTAATAAACTGCTTGGAGAGCAGCAAAACCCCTTTTGACTGGGGTTGGAAAAGGGATTGGGGAAAGTCCAATTTGACCCAAAAACCCCCTTTTTATAAGGACATGTTTTTGATATATCCCCGTGCGCGTGGGGAGCGCTTTTACGCCCGTTGAACGCCGAAACCGACTGAGTTGGTTTTAGCATTGCAGCAGCCTTTGACTCACCCTTTTTAAATGCACCCCTTGGCGACTAGGGGCCCAAGGGTTTTACCCACGCAAAGGGCCCGATTCCGCCATCCTTTTTTTCCGGGGGGCACACCAAAGAGGGCAAACCAAAAAAAAAAAGGGGCGAAGGGCCCCTGGGACAAAACCCCCACCAGGCACAGGGTTTGGGAAAAATTTTGGGGAGGTTTTAGACACAGCCTCTCGAAACCTCACCCCAATGCCCGGATTGAGTAATTTTTTTTAAAATGTTTAAGGGGTTAAACCGGGGAAAAACCCCCTGCTGAACCCTGTGGAAATGACATAGCAGCTTTAAAACACATCAGCAACCGTAAGGTTAGATGTTCTTCGCCTGCTGCAAATTCAGGGAGGTCAATGTTTGGTTTCGGAAACCCTGGGGGGATGTTTTTCCCTTTTAGAGCTTGCGCCCTTGCTGACGTCCCCGGGGGCGGGTGGGATCCTTTACTGGTTTTTTAACCTCAGAGCTCCCAAAAATATTTTTCCCCCCCTTCCCATTTTTTTTCCAAAATTTTTGGGTCTGATTTTTGGGGTGTCGGGGGTCCTGTTTTTTGGCTTTTGCCCGGGGGGGTTTTGTCCCCCCTAGGGGGGGGGGACGGACAGGTTGTCATTAATATATGTAAATATAATAAATATTTTTAAATATTTATATATATATATATAAATATATTTTTTTAAAAAAATTTTTTTAAAAAATTAAAAAAAAAAAAAATTATATATATAAAATATATAAAAAAAATATAAAATATATAATAAAAATATATATATAAAAAAAATATATATATAATATAAAAATATATATATATATATATATATATATATATAAATAATATAAACTAGTATATTTAAAATATGAATATATCAATTAATTTATAAATATATTTAAAATAAAAATTAAATAAAAAAAATAAATTTTTGGGATTCGTTGGGGTTTGAAAAGGCTATAAAGGGGGATAGGGGAAGTGGGAAGTTTAGAATTTGGGTAGGGGTAGCAAAGGGAAGAAAATTAAAGGTTGAATTAAGGGAAAAAAAGTAAATTTATTAGGATTTAACAAAAAATTTGTTTGGAACCCAAAGGGGGGAAGAGAAATATAAGGTTTAAAAGTTTTTAATATTGGGTTTTGGGAACGGTTGGGATGGGAATTTTGGGGGGGAAAGGGGGGAGTTGGGGAAAACATTAAGGGGTTGTGGGGAAAAAAAGAGTTGAGTTTTGGGGAATTAAGGGGGTCGGGAACTAAAACTTTGTCCGGGGCCAAGGAAAGGGGGTTTTTTTTGGGGAAATTTTAGAAATTTAACCAAAAAGGTTTTTAAAAAGGTGTAAAGCGTGGGGGAAGGGAAGGGGGGGGCGGCCAGGAAAGGGTGGGGAGGGGGAAAAATTTTTTCATTGGTTCCGGGAATGTGGGTGTTTAAAAAATTAAAAGGAAATTGGGAAAAATTTAATTAATTGGGGTTTCGGGATTTACCAAAAACTTTTAAGGGCTAGGAAAGGGGAGGGGCCCGGGCTGATCCCTGGAGAAAAGAATGACTTCAAGGAGGGGTGTTAATGTTGCTTTTAAAAAAAAACTGTAGTGTAAAGCACCCTTCTGGCAAGACAGTGAGGGAAAGTGAATGATGGTGAAAGTTTTTCTTTTTCGGGCCACCCTGCCTTGGTGGGAATCGGCCAGTGTGATAATAAAAAAAAAATGTCGTGCCGAATATGTAAAACTGGTCAATTAGCAAGAACTCCTTTAAAATTA